ACACACACACACACACACACACACACACACACACACACACACACACATTACCAGTGCAGAAGAAACTTTGACAGTAAGTGGAGAACACTTTCAACAGTTTAACATCTATCATGTTTTCTCTGTGAATACACTCATTACCAGCCAAATCACAACCTGAACCAGCATCTGGTGAAACACTGTCCTCCGCTGAGGCCGACCCACATCAAAGCCTTTTAAATGTTGTTACAGAAAATCCTCTGTAGACATTTATAAGGGGAATAGTTTCTTAAGAAAGACTTAAAGCTGCTGGCAAGAGAATAATGAGCAGACACACGGGCAGGAAGACATGGGGATGCTCTGTGGGGAGAGAAGGAGTTAGAGAATTGAAGATAAAGTCGGACAGGGAATGGAGGGGGAGTGTTGTGGCTTTTAGTGGCTGGTAAAAGTAAGAAAATAATGAGTAGGAAGAGAGATAGGCGGGCAGAGAAAGCCACAAGACAGACAGAGATTGTAGAGATGTATGATGGATTTATTGAGACCGACGAGCAAGATCAGCTTTAGATCTGTTTTACATTAAATGCTCGAGGTCTGTGCCATTGAATGATATGCATTTTCATGCCAAATGTTTTATTTTCTCAGTGCAGTTTGAATGCAGTCATTATTGTCACATTTGACAATGAACAATTTGCTAAATGGTTTGGTGTTTTTCAATGAAAGCTGATATATGTACAACAACCGCCAAGCACAATTGAAACATTAACACGCATGCACTGATACAGGCAGACATGTAGAGGGCCGGATGTCACCGCTGGAATAAGTGTTTTCATGTCACAGTTTATCAGCAGAACATGCAGGCAGCTCCACACACCGTCAGCTGATGACTTTCTGTCTCAACAAGTTCAAATTTTCCACGCAGCTCTGAGCCCTGAGATGACCTCTGGCAGGAGAGTGAGTGATGAAGAATGACGAGGGACGAAACTGTGTGTGTGTGTGTGTGTGTGTGTGTGTGTGTGTGTGTGTGTGTGTGAGAGAGAGAGAGATGGGTTGAACGGGTGGTTTTGTATGTGTGCTGAGACCTTCAACAGATACTGTAGGTTGTAGACCTAATGTTCACGCCACACCTCTTTGTTTGGACAGGAAAGATTGCAGAAGATGGATGATGCTAAATGTTTCAGAGGGTTAGGGTTGGAAGTGAGCAAAAGAAGTGATCATGTCCTTTAAAACTTTCATAACTTTAGGGGTGTCTGGTGGTATAATGTTTAAGATGCATGTATCACGTTCAATTCAGGCCATAAATGTCTTCACCAAATTTCATGATAATGCATCCAAGAACTGTTGAGACATTTCACTCAGAACCACAAATGTAAACCTCATGGTGGTGCTGAATGAAAAGTCAGGGGATCACCAAAGTCTGTAGGATTCATCCTCTGGGGACCGTGAATGTGTCTAGAAAATATCATGGCAGTCCATCAAACGGTTGTTGGACAAAAGATCAGTCTGGACCAAAGTGGTGGACCGACAAACTCGAATCCAGGTTTTCTTCTTTCTTTCTATTGTATCATGTAAATCACTCAGAAGTATACACAAATCTTCCTCAAATAACAAAACAAATGTTCACGCATAAATAGCACAGCCACTCACACACACAGAGGGTAAAGGTGAGCTAACAGCTTCCATCTGCAGCTTGTTATCACTCCGGCAGCTCATCGCCTCACTGTGGAAACCGCACCAGTCTCACCTCTCACTAACCGTTCTCTCCTGCTGTCAAATCCATCTTCACATCTCTTCCATCTATCCGTTTAACCTCTCTCTCCATCATGCTCCGTCTCTTCTTTCTATCCATCTTTAGCTTCCTCTCTTTCCTTTCTTGAAGTTAACTTCTAAACAGGTCTTCAATTTCATCTCTCATGTCTGTGCATCTGTCTTCTTGTCTCTCTCTCTTCGCTGCTAGATATTTCTCTCTTGTCTCTCTCTTCAATCATCTTGTGTCCTATATACATCTACCAAATCCCTCAAAGCCTCCATATAGGGAAACTTCTACATCTGTCTCCATTGTGCCTAAAAGCAGTGAGCCGACGCTGCATTGACAAACAGCCAAACCGAAGCGACACGCGGAAGAGCATCTGGTTTCACTGTAAGTGTCAAACCTCAGCTATGGCAGCATGCAGTCTCAACCACTTCAAAGATTGGTTTGCAGTAATTTATACTGGGATGTGTTTACATTGTCAATGTTCCGCTTAGTCAGGCTGAGGCGTTCCCCCGGTGTCTGTCAAATCTGAGAGTCAGACGACTCAGACTGTGCAACATCACTCACTGCTGCTGTCCAAACTTTTTGCTTATTTGCATATTTCTGTTTGATCAGGGAGCTTACATGGTTCTTTCATCACCCAATGACATGTAAAATAAACTTCTGATTAAGGATTTAAAAAAATATCTAGTGTGATGAAACCGAGGGCAGATTACTGCAGAAATGTATTTCGTTAAAAAAAGGGGGGAAATGTTACAAAGTAGACATTCGCTCAGACAAGTCTGGAAAACAAACAAATATAACTGAGCAGAGAATGAAAATAGTTCACTTCCAAATCTCATGCTGACATCTCTAATGTACAAATTGGGCACAGGCAGAGTGTAAGCTGTGTTAAGCTGCAGACACACGCACATACGCATGCAATATAGGCACATACGCACAGTATCAGTGTTATCATTGGCTCAGTGGGAGAGGGGGACACATCTGAAGCCTATTAGACCTGCGGTGCTACAAAATGCATACCAGAAACACACACACACACACACACACACACACGCACACACACACTATCATGAATTAAAAAGTCCCTGGTTCAGTCACACCTACTCCCACCTCAGCTGACAAAACTCACTGACAGTCTGCTATCTCCAAATATTGTTTTGTTGACATTTTGTTTTCATATACTGTGAAACACACACGCGCGCACACACACATAAATACCCATTAAACTCATTACACCGCTGCTTCCCAGCGTATCATTAGAACTCAGCCGTATATTGTTGCAGTGTGTCAAGTATTTCTGGAATCTGACGCATGCACAAAAAGGCATCTGCTTCTCCTCCTCGCCCTCTTCTCCCAGGTCTCATATTCCTTCACATCTTCCTCAGTTTGCCTGTGTGGTTTGTTGCGACATGTGCATCAGGGCTTCATTATGGATGGCTGTCTGGCCTATAACTTTACTGTATTTGCTGTAGTACAGAAAAAGAAGAAAATGCAATGAATAAATCATGCAAACAGTTATTTTCACTGTACTGTTGCATTTATTTGTATCAAGGTAAATGTGACAAGTTCTCTTCATGTAGAATTCAGGCCACATCACTCCTATCTAGATGTCATCGTCAATGTGACCATGTTAGCATGCTGATGTTAGGATTTAGCTGTAGCTTTGGCTCGTTTCTCTAAACTCAGTCTTAAAATCAAGTCCGGTCTAACTGGCATTGCATTCAACCTCTCATATTGTAAACTCTTCTCACTCTTCTACAAACGAGTTATCCCCAGCATCTGACTCCAAGAGGGGTTTCACGTTTTGTTTGAGTGACCATTGTGAAATATGTCACAGTGATGAATATTGGTTCCTCTCGCTCTCTGTCTTTTGTGTAAAAGGCAACAGCGGCAGATGAAGGAAGGCACAGCTGCAGCCTCTCAGAGCACCGAGTTGACTGAATAGCAGACTCTCACACAAATAGTTTGAATTGATTATAGTTGTCTTTTCTACACTGGAAACTGGTGTTT